CCTCCCCCTTATTTTGGGTGAAAAAAGAAGAAATCACAGGAGGAAGAAAAGCCAGCAGGGCAAGCAAAACAAAGCTGTCCCCTCTCCCCCGTTAGCTCAAGGTCTGGATCTGCCACTGGTAACCCGAAGATGTATCGTATGTATGTAGTTACGCATCCCATGCAGGGTGGAAGTACAAAATATACTCAGTACTCCTCTGTCACTTGATGCTACTGAGCCCAGAGATGTCAGAATGAGTTTTCATATAGCCTTAATGGAGACTTAACCTTCCCTCTTAACAGATATATAGATAACCTTTATTTTAAAGCGATGAGTATTAAAGTTACATGAGCTTGTGGGGTCATTTGCAATTAACATGCCTGATAAGCTTTGATTCCATTTTTATGATGGTGCAAAACAGCCACCTGATCTTTGTGAATCTAAAGACTGACTGTGTTACTTTGATCTTACTAGTAATTATGTAATCTTTTATTGGTATCAATAACTAGGTTGCACAGAAGTGCCTGCCTTTTTACAAAGAGTATTTTGAGATTGGTTACTTGTTGCCCAAGCTTGACCTCATTGCTATCCAAGACTTTGTTATAGGTAAGCCTTATGGTCCTTTGGGACTTTAATTTCATAATCATGTGCATCATTCTTAGCAGGGAATTTGTAATTGTTATGTGTTTGTTGAGAATTAGGAAAACTTGCTCTGAGCCTGAAAAGGTCAGCCTGGATGCTGGTGGTCTCGTTTTAGGGGGTATTAAAATCAATAATTCTGGTCTCACTCAGGGTGTTGATGATGAAACACCACTAGTTTTAGTATGTTTTAGGGTGCACTTGATGACGTTATAGCAAAAAACGTTCTTATTTCCGTTATTAGGCACAATTTCTGCCAGTCTTTTGAGTCTGGTCTACTAGCGCAGGCTCCTTTACCATTCAGTGGCTGGTAATCAAGCCTATTCTGTTTTATGTGGTACCTTTTAGAGGTCAAATAAACCTGACCCAGCCCAGATTGGTATCTTTTAGTGGTTTAATTCAAATTTTCCAACGAGCATTCCCAGTGTTTTCATTTGGGAGTCCCCCCTGCATGGGGCTCCGAGGGCCATAGCTTTGCCATATGTGACCATTAAAATAAAGATCATGTTGAAATGATTTAATTTTAGTTTTTAATATAGGGAAACATTCACAAAAATAATATGTGCAATCTAATGATGTTTTTATTTGTGTGAGTTGGGTACAGCTGCTAATTTCAGTGCTAAATGAAAACTTTATTTAATATTTGATCCCAGGAGCTATGGAAAACTGAGGTTTGGTCAATAGGTATGTTAATGAACACACAGAACTAGCACAAGCTTTTGATGTCCCACAGCAATCTTAAAATACAGTGTATTCCAATCTTCCTCTTGTGTAACATTATAAATTGATTAGATTTCTTAGATGTAGGCCATTTTTACAACTCTGCAAAATAAAACAAGTTAAAAGTATCCTTCCTCAGAAGTGAAATTTAAACTATCACACAATCATGTATCTAGACTAATAATATACATGAAAAAATTACTCGATTCTGATTGGCTGAGAGCACTGCAGTTCAAGTGTAACACCAGTGCAAAAAGTGTAACACTGTTGCAAAAAGTGTAACACCAGTGCAAATTACACATCGTAATTCTGGATTATGATTGGCTGAAAGACAAAAGGAAATTTTCTAAGTCAATGATATCACGTAAAATGATGACAAAAATTTTGTGCAGAAACTTTAAAAAAGTTTTCTCAAATGAGAAAAAAATGATTTCAAGAAAGATCTTCCGGCACTTCCTCCACGCGAATTTTTTCATGTTTATGTTATTAATAAGTAATCATACGGTTTTTCTCGTTCAATTTAGAATTAATTTGCACTTGTGAGTTTTTCAAAAAGCTGAAATTGCACTCGCCGAAGCGGCTNTGTGCAATTTCAGCTTTTTGAAAAACTCAGTCGTGCAAATTAATTCCAAATTGAACTCGAAATCATATGATTACCTATACTAATTTAAGGCACCAGACATGGCGTTCTTTCTTTGAGGTACATGTACACATGCATTACATAATATTGAACTTTGAAATGTGAATAAAGTTTTCTAATTCTCCTTTTCTTTACCATTGTTATAATTTGAGTCATGCAAATAATATATTTTTATATTTATCATTTCCCTTTTTTCTTTTTTCTTTTAAAGTTAAGGGAGACCTGCTTGTTGATTGATCCAAAAGACTCTTCTGCTGCAGCTAAACAGTATGTGGCACTGGTTGTTGGTGAGTTTAATGCGGTACTCGCTTGATTAACGTGGTGGTTCATGCAAAATTATATTTTACAGTAGCTGACAGAATGCAATTGTACACTCATTTGTCAAGAGCCATGTGAATTAAAGTGACTGTTGTTCTTTTTAGGTCATGAACTTGCCCATATGTGGTTTGGAAATCTGGTAATAATTCAGTTCTTTTTTTATAATTACTGTTGAAAATGTAAACTAGTCATTCACAATTAATGTTACCGGTAATTAAGATTCAGACAAAAGCCTAAAGGCTTATATTCAGCGGAGCAGGAAAGTTGGTTGTGTTATTTGAGGTTGGGTGGGCGGGGGGGATTTTTGGATAGGGTGAAGCTTATGAGAATCTCACCATATTGTAACGGGCTGAAAAATACTTTACTGATCACGATATAAAATATAGTAGTAATGTAGCATGAAACCTAGTTAACCTCTTTTTCTTTTCTTTTCTTTTTTTTGTTGTTGTGAGTCACAGTGGTAAGTTACCATGTACATGTGTGATTGTTCAATGCAAGATAGCTCTATCATACAAAGGGTATAATTTTAGTGGGAAAGTGTGCAAATCTTGTGTTGACTGTGGATGAAACAAAATGTGAAAAATCACAACAGGAAAATAGTCTATCAAGATCGTGGGAAAATAATTTGTTTTTATTCAATTTCTATAGACTGTATTTAACTATGAGTAGCATTGTAGACTACAAGTGGTCCCTCTTGAATCGCTTAGTTTGTTGCGCAAGACCTTAAATAAAGCGTGAGAAAAAATGGCCGCGTTAAATCCTGGGGGCGAGACGTGCAGTTTGTTAGTACTGATATTTCTCGGATTGTTGGGTTACCAGTTCAGTTGTATCTGTAGTCTGGGATAGCTGGGTAAATTAAAAATCTCTTGATTTGTTAGCACCAACATTGAAACTTATACACTGAATTTGTTGGTTTTGTCAATTAGTGCATGTGCTTAAGCGAAAAGTGGTGATGTTGCAAGGGGCGTTAAAAGGTATAACAGAGAGGAAGCACTAAGATGCCATTAATTTTAGCGATCGGCAACACCACAAAACGTCCAAGTCGTAGAGAAATTTAGGGCTCATTTCTTTGGAATGATCTGTATCATGATTAGTGATCTCTGGTGATCTGAGATCATGATCAGCAGGATCATGGTCGGGGGGG